TTAGGTTTGGGGGATTTTGTTGGCTTTCAATTTTAATGTATATAGAAGCATATATGACAAAAATGAGGTCATTCCACACATCCTGTTTTATAACCTGTTTTTTCCCACTCAACAGTATCTTGTGAAAGTTTTTCATGTCAATGAATACAGATCCATCTCAATCTTTTTAATGACTGGTCAACTGGGTCAACAACGTCCATGGCTGTGAAGCAGTCAGGTGACAAGTTGATATGGCAATCAGGAAGTGTTTTATTTTATTTATTTATTTTTGAGACGGCATCTCTCTCTGTCACCAGGCTGGAGTGTCGTGGAGCAATCTCGGCTCACTGCAACTTCCGTCTCCTGGGTTCAAGTGATTCCCCTGCCTCGGCCTCCCGAGTAGCTGGGACTACAGGCGTGCACCACCATGGCTGGCTAATTTTTTTGTTTGTTTGTTTGTTTTTGTTTTTGTTTCGAGATGGAGTCTCGCTCTGTCGCCCAGGCTGGAGTGCAGTGGTGCAATCTTGGCTCACTGCAAGCTCTGCCTCCCGGGTTCACACCATTTTCCTGCCTCAGCCTCCTGAGTAGCTGGGACTACAGGCACCCGCCACCACGCCTGGCTAATTTTTTGTATTTAGTTGAGACGGGGTTTCACCATGTTAGCCAGGATGGTCTCGATCTCCTGACCTTGTGATCCCCCTGCCTTGGCCTCCCAAAATGCTGGAATTACAAGTGAGAGCCCCTGCGCCCGGCCTAATTTTTTCTATTTTTAGTAGAGACGGGGTTTCACTGTGTTAGCCAGGACGGTCTCGATCTCCTGACCTCATGATCCACCCACCTCAGCCTCCCAAAGTACTGGGATTATAGGCATGAGCCACTGCACCCGGCCAGGAAGTGTTTTATTACACTAGCAAAATTGAGCCAGCTATGAGCTCTATGGTTTCAGGGAAGTGAAAGGGGAGAAGCCAAGCTGCCAAGAAACTAGGAAAATATGAGGGAGAAGAAAAAGAGACAGATCTAGCAGACCAGTCTTTCAAAAAGCTTGACTGAAATTTTAATACACACAGTCACAGAATATCTGGGACAAGAGTGAAACATCATACGCCAAAAGATTAATAGTAGTTGCCTCTTGGCTGGGTGCAGTGGCTCACACCTGTAATCTCAACACTTTCGGAGACCAAGGTGTTCGGATCACTTGAGGTCAGGGATTCGAGACCAGCCTGGCCAACATGGTGAAATGCCGTCTGTACTAAAAATACCCAAAAATTAGCCAAGTGTGGTGATATACACCTGTAATCCCAGCTACTTGGGAGGCTGAGACAGGAGAATCTCTTGAACTCAGGAGGCAGAGGTTGCTGTGAGCTGAGATCATGCCACCGCACTCCAGCCTGGGTGACAAGAGTGAGACTCCATCTCAAAAAATAAAAATAAAAATAAACAAATAAGTAGTTGTCTCTTGATAGTGGGATAAGTTATTTGTTTTCTTTATTTTCTAAAATTTCTACAATGGTCATATATCCATCTTTTGTAGCAAGACAAAGTCATAGGTTTAAAATGGCAGCAGTGAGAGGAGGACACAGAGTTAGAAAGGCTTCTCCCAGAATAGAAGACTTGAGCATATTTATAAGGTGGGAGAGAGTTATTAAGGGAAATACCAGAGAGTCTAAAAATACAATGAAGGGGAAAATAACTGATGGACAATGGTACAAAAGAGATAGGATGGGTCGGCATCCATAGCACAGATCAGGTGCATTAGAGTAGGAATCTTCTTCTACTGGGATTTGAGAGGAATGGGAAAACATGGGGGTGGTTCCACCTCCCCCACACACAATCCAACCAACCTCTACATGAGCAAAGGGCCTGGCGAGAGTAGTCCAGTTTGGAATACTCCTCCCATGGAATAGAAAGGGGAACTGATGGGAATGAGGAGAGGGGTTTCTATAAGTGATGGAGGGATGGCTAAGACTGGAGACCCTTCATGGCAGCTGGAGTGACACACAGGCAAAGTGGCACAGTGGTTGAGGGCATGGAGTTCAGAAAAAACACAGAAGAGGCAATTCATGAGACGGAGAAAATGGAGGTGTCTGAGAACCAGAGGTCTCCTTGAGGTCAGAGCACATAAAGCAGAAGTTGGACTGTGGTTAGAGAAAAATACTAGAGTTTAAGATTTCAGAGGTGGCCCCATGCCAATGAGGACCACATTCAGATGTAGTTGGTAAAAATTGTGACTGAAAGAGGCACTACCTCCCCTGAGACAATGGGATGTGGAGTGGGCAACTGTGGTCTAGCACTAAAGACCTCCAGGAAAACAAGGAAGCAGAGGGAGAGGAGAAAACAACTAGAACATAGGGGCCTCAAAGGAGGAGTCTCCTCCCTAACCGGGCTCTAGCCTAACCCTTGTCCCTGGTCCCAGACAATCTCCCAAAAGTCTGCTTACAGTTCCAGAGAAGTCAGTGCAGCAAAGTATGAATGATTCAGAGTAGAAACCAGAGCACAGGGCAAAGCTGCCTTGTTTGTATATAAAGATTAGGGCAGAGAGAATCTGGGACTTGAGAGGGCGGTAAAAGACTAGGGTCACAGAAAGGGAAGCTTCCAGGCTTCTCTGCCCTTGTTTCAGGGCAAGCCTTTGAAATGGGGGGTGGGGGGTTGGAGGGGAAGACAGCAATCACTGGCCTCTGCAAACCAAAGTTCTTTTTTTTTCTTTCTTTCTTTTTTTTTTTTTTTTTTTTGAGCTGGAGTCTCACTCTATTGTCCAGGCTGGAGTGCAGTGGCACAATCTCAGCTCACTACAACCTCCGCTACCCAGGTTCAAATGATTCTCCTGCCTCGGCTTCCCTGGTAGCTGGGATTACAGATGTGCACTACCATGCTTGGCTAATTTTTATATTTTTAGTAGAGACGAGGTTTCACCATGTTGGCCAGGCTGGTCTCGAACTCCTGACCTCAGGTGATCCACCCACCTCGGCCTCCCAAAGTGCTGGGATTATAGGCATGAGCCACCGTGCTGGCCAAACCAAAGTTCTTAAAGACTACAAAACAGAAGAAGTAGCAATCTGCTCAACTGATAATCTTTTATAATGGGGATGGGGGCTACATACCCCTCCAAAGATGTAGGCCTTGGGAAACACCTCCTTAATTATCAATAAGACAGTATATACTACCTGAATTTTGTTTAAGAAACCCTGACTATAATGTATTCCATTCCTTTTTGTGAAGCTAGGAGGACAGAAGCCCCCACAGTGGGGAGATTGAGGCCCCTGGCAGCAGAAGAGGGTCAAGCCTGGCTTCAGATCAGGCCAGAGCCCTAGGGCTAACTCCAGGGCTCCCTGCTCACCAGGATGGGCCCCTCATCCCTGGCACAGAAATGGTGATTCTTTTCTGCTGCCCAGAGTCAATCTGCTAAGATGGAAGTTTCCCCCTCCTGCTCTACCTCTAATCCCCTCATCCCACTCCTAGCCCCATCTTCTGTCCTGAAATCCCAGAACTATGAATAATCCTCAGAAAGCAGCAGTCTCCTGGCCATGCTATCCCTGTCCTACTGATGACTGTTCAGTAGCCTCCTACAGATCCTTGCCTGGCATTCAAGGCTTTGTGCCAGTCAGCTACAAACCTCCCTCCCCACAACCTTTTGCTGCTTACAGGCTGACCTGCCTCCTACACTCCCAGCCTCACGCAGAAGATGATCTCTAGCTGCCTCCTCTGCTTCCAGTGCCCCTAAACTGGCAGCACTATCAGATCCTCTAAGTCCTACCACCTTCTCACATCCCACCCCTTCTGGGAAGCCTTTCCAAAAACCGCTGCTCTGCATCCCGCTGCATACATTTGAGTCAGTCATTGGGCACTAAGTGTTCACGTCTTCTCCCATAATCTCTTCTTTACTCTCTCCTGGATGGAGTTTCCAGGAGGGACCCAGCACAGGGCACAGTGAATCCATATACTTGCTTAAGACTTGGACACTCTCCCAAGGGGTGGGAGGGAGGCAATTAACACCCTCCCCCAATGAGACTAAGTCCAAAGCTGCTGTCAAACCTGCTGTATTACACTTCCTCCAGGAAACCTTCTGAAACTCCCGGCTGGCAGCATGGAAGGAAGTGCAGCCTGTAAAGGAAATGCTGTGGGGGGCAAGGGGTTGGGACAGGGACAGGGAGGCAGAGGGATGGGGGAGGAAAGGAAAAGGAAGAGGGAGAAGAACGGGGGGATGCTCTAAACTAGAACAAGGAGCATCCTCAAGAGAGGTCACTACTTAGTCCTATTATTTCATCCCTAGAGAAAGGTGCTAGCAAAGAGATGCCCAGAGAGGGCAGGTGACTTGGGGAACTTGCTTGGAGGTGGCCACTCAGGAAAATATTAAAAACAGCCACAAAGACCGAGGTCTCTCTCTAGAACTCCCATCCTGGGACCCCACTAACTGTCCAAGGGGTTTGCTAAAGCTAAGACCCTCTTTCAGGGGCCCATTCACCAGAGACAGCCCCCTCTCAGCTCTGGAGACTTTGCCCTAGGGCTCACCAAGCCCAGAACAAACCTAAGTTAGCAAGACCTGTGTAGCCCCAAACAAAATCTCTCTGCCAATCATGCCTCTGCAAGAACCATCTACCTCTTTCAGAGCCCTGCTTCGTGAGGCAGAACACATAGGGTACAGGTTGCAAATTTCTCCAGACTTCACCACCCCACCGGCAGTCACATGGCTGAGCTCCCAGGTTCAGCCCCTAACAGCTGTGCTCGTTTTCACCCCTGTGCCTTTGCCCATACATTCTCCTGGAATGCCCTCTCTTGCCTCTCCTCCCACCCAAATCCCATCACCTCTGGAAGTCTCCTATTCGCTGGCTGTCGCCTCCCTTTCTGTGTCCCTGGGAAAGTCTGCTAGGCCCTCACAGATCTCCCCACCGGGAAGCTGGGACATTACCGGTTTAAGCCGCCTGTGACAGCGAATGCTCAGTCCCAGTCTCTACTTGGTTCCCCCAACCCCCCAGACCAGGAGCTCCCGGAGGCGGGGGAAAGGGATCGGTTCCCAAACACCTCACCTCCATCCTCGTGACCGACTCCAGCCAGCGCTGAAATGAGCCAAATTCCGGCGCCCCCAGCTCACCACCCAAAGCCCTGATGGAGCCCGCCTGGTGGCCTGGGCCAGCGCTCCCGTACCCCAGCAACCCTGGGGCGGCTGAGGTCCGCCATCCAAAGGTCGCCCGCCCCAGGGAGGTGAGGGAAGTCAACCCAGGTCCACCTGCAGGCGCTGGTTGGAAGGAAAGACCCGAAGGAGTCCATTGGCACCCCCTTCCAGTCGCCCCCATCCCCGGCCGCGCGCGCCATCCCCAGAAGGTCGGTTTCCAGGGAACGCCAGGTGGGGCTGGGGGGGATGTAGGGCCCAAAGCTCAGGCTCCAGATCCAGGGTCTGACGTCACCCAAAGGCCCAGTTCCCTCTGCGGGAGTCACAGATGGGAATGGGGGTGCTTGGTGGGTTTGGGGGGCCTGGGTGCGCCCTGAGCGCTCTTCCCCAGCCCCAAACAGTAAAGGTCACCTCCATCCCCACCTCTTCAACAGTTCGGCCTGCTCCCTGAATCCAAAGGTGAAGTGTAGAGGGTACAAAGCTGCAGCCAGCGACCCCCCACCCCTCTCGCCACGCGCCCAGCTTCCCTGCAAAGCTCTCCTCCCAGCCTTCATGCCCAGACTCACCTGCCGCGGCCGTTCGGCTGCCTAAAGGCCGCCGCGCTGCGCTGAGCTGCGCTGCACCAGAGCGATGCGGCGCGGAGCCGGCCGCAAGCCGCTCCCGGGCTGGAGGCGGGGAGCGCGCGCGCGCGCGCGCCCGGGGCCGTCTCCGCGCGCGCCCGCGCCGCCGCTGCCTGCAGCAGTCACTCTCGCGAGACTTCCGCTCTACTCCCAAGGCCGCTCCTCCTGAGCTCGCGAGAAGGACGACCCGGCCTCCCCAGCACCTTCCAGGAGCTGTCCGAGGTGCTAGTTCCCGGGCCCCGGCCGGATCAGGTGGTTGACGGACACCTCAGGGACAAGAGCATGGCAAGTAGGCAGAAGCAAGAGACCCAGAGATGGGAGCCTGGCACCAGCAGCCAGAGCCTCAGCTTCCATATCTGTAAACTGGGGAGAATAACCTCCCATGCCGATGCCAGGAGCCTCTGAGACGTGCCAGAAAGGAGTGAGAAAGAGCTGAGAGCAGGAGAGTGTGGTGACTGCGGAAGGTCCTTCAGATCTACAGGCGCAGGGGGAAAGCGAGAACAGAGGACGGAAGATCGGAGATGATATTCAGAGAGGCAAGAACACAGATCCAAGGGAAGACAGACATAGGAGGACGAGAAAGAAGAGTTGCAAACAGAGACAGAGACACACGGAGAGAGAGATTGAAATGAGAGATCAAGGCCTGGAGAGAAAAAAGACATGGAAAGATAAGATAGGTAAGGGAGCATAATGAAGCAAGAAAGAGGCAAGAAATAGGGACAAATTACGCAAAGGAGCAGGGAGAGAAAGAGAGAGACAGAGAGAGAGAGAGAGAGGCTTAGAAAGAGAGAAACTCAGAAAAAGGAATGAAAGAGACAGTGATGTGCAGAGATGAACACCGAGAGAGTAGAGGCCAGAGTAAATGTTTAAAAACCCAGAGCTTTGGAGGGTTGAGAGAGACCCACTTGGAGAGATGGGCTGGGAGTAAAGACAAGCTTTTATTGTGATTGGTGTTTACATAGTAAACCTCCATGGGATCTCTACAGCCAGGGCCACTCTGTCCTGCCAGCCAATTGCTCCTTCCCCCCCCCACCATACCTCCCACCCTCCACTCCCCACCCACAGCATCCTAGGCCTGGAAGGGAGCCTCAGTGGGTGGGAGACACTGCAGGGATTCTTTGCCTAGAATAAGGGCTCATTGTCTGGCTCCAGCCTGCCAGGATTGGTGCCTCACTCCCACAGCTGGCATGAAAAGGGGGTGGGAGTGAAAAAAGGCAGACAAGAACTAGTGTGGCAGAGGGGGAAAGGAGGGAGAGAGCCTCGGTGCCTGGGAAGGGCTGAGCAGGAAGCATAATCCCGCCACCAGACCAACCAGGAAGGAAGGGTCCTGGGCGAATCACTTGAGGTCAGGAGTTCGAGACCCGCCTGGCCAACATGGTGAAACTTCATCTCTACTAAAAATACAGAAATAGCCAGGCATGGTGGCGTGCATCTCTAATTCCAGCTACTCAGGAGGCTGAGGCATGAGAATCGCTTGAACCCAAGAGGTGGAGGTTGCAGTGAGCCGAGATCATGCCACTGCACTCCAGCCTAGGCAACAGACCAAGACTTCCTCTCAAAAAATTAAATAAATAAAGTATTTAAAGGTGCTAGCTCAAACTGTGTGGCAGGCACTGGAGACATGTCTTTGTTGTAGTGGAGGGCAGGAGTGAGAGAGCCTGTGCCAAACCATGCAGTAACACATTTCAAGCTTCTTTGCAGATGTGGAGAATGTCACATCTGCTCATATGCCATTACTCAAAGCAAGTCACATGGGTAAGCCCCAAACTAATTCATGGGGGCCAGGGAGGTATGCTACCCATACAGGATGCCAGATAAGTCACATGGCAAATGGTGAGGACATTTAATCCCATTGCAGAGGAAGCAAGTAACTGGGAGCAGGAACCCAATCAATCAATATCGCACAGGGCCAGCTCCAGGCTGCTTATCTTTCCCTGCCTAGCTATACCTGAATGAGGCATGTCCATCCAAGAGTCTCTGGAGAATATTTATGTTACATGCCAGTAAACAAATGAAAAGAATAGAAGTATTTACTGAACTTTTAATGTCTGAGTGAGATGCTAAACTGCATGGCCATCCTAAGAAATAAGTGCTATTATCCCTATTCTATAGATGAGACAAGTGAAAATCAGAGAGGTAAAGTGATCTGCCCAAGGAAATTGAACAGATAGATCTAAGAAATAAAAGAACCACTATCTTTAGGCTGGATTTCCCCAGAGGCAGACACTGAGATAAGGATGTTCACACAAATAGTCCATTTGAGAGATGATTCCATGGAGCACTAGTAGGAGGCGGCGGGGGGGTGAAACAAAGAAATGAAGAAAATCGGCTGGGCGCGGTGGCTCACGCCTGTAATACCAACACTTTGGGAGGCCGAGGCAGGGGGATCACGAGGTCAGGAGATCAAGACCATCCTGGCTAACATGGTGAAACCCCGTCTCTACTAAAACTACAAAAAAATTAGCCAGGTGTGGTGGCGTGCACCTGTAGTCCCAGCTACTCGGGAGGCTGAGGTAGGAGAATGGCGTGAAGCCAGGAGGCGGAGCTTGCAGTGAGCCGAGATCACGCCACTGCACTCCAGCCTGGGCGACAGAGAGAGATTCCGTCTCAAAAAAAAAAAGAAAAGAAAAGAAAAGAAATGAAAAGAAATGAAGAAAAGCAGTATAGGGTGCAATAATTAGCAGGTTACCACTGTGGACAAATGGGGTTTGATTGTATTGGGCATCTCTGGGAGAGTGAAGAAGACAATGTACTCATCCCACTGAAGGAGTGATGACACTAACGGTTTCTTCATTACATGAGAGCTGTTCCTGGCACCTCCAGCTTGCCAGTGTGCCTTTTGAGCAGAAAGCACCCTCAGGCAGAAAATCCCAGGGGCTTGCAGTAAAAAACACATCAGGAATGGCTAAGGGGGTATGAGAAGGGCACTATGTCGTGACAATCTACTACAGCCAGGACCTAAACCCATCAGCCTGGCTCCTGAGCGACATTATGTCACCTCCATGATAATCTTGTTAATCACGTTATTATCTATGCTGTTAGTCCTGTGGAAGTTTACAATATGGAGTATTCTTTCTTAAGAAAGAGCCTCCCCTGGCTGGGTGCAGTGACTCAGGCCTGTAATCCCAACACTTTGGGAGGCCAAGGCAGGTGGATCACCTGAGGTCAGGAGTTCAAGACCAGCCTGGCCAACATGGTGAAACACCATATCTACTAAAGATACAAAAATTAGCTGGGCGTGGTGGCAGGCGCCTGTAATCCCAGCTACTTGGGAGACTGAAGCTGGGAAATCGCTTGAACCCGGGAAGCGAAGGTTGCAGTGAACCGAGATTGCGCCATTGCACTCCAGCCTGGGGGACAAGAGTGAGACTTTGTCTCAAAAAAAAAAAAAAAAAAGTTTTTTAAAGTAGCTGGACATGGTGGCACGCTCCTATAGTCTTGGTTACTTGGGAGGCTGAGGTGGAAGGACCACATTAAGCCTGAGATGTTGAGGCTACAGTAAGTCATGTTCTTACACCACTGCACTCCAGCCTGGGCGACAGAATGAGACCCTGTCTAAAAAAAAAAAAAAGGAAAAGAAAAGAAAAAGAAATAAAGAAGAGAAAGAAACTCCTGCTTCCCCCAGTTTCCCCCCTCATGCTCCTGGTTTTGCAAGATGCCACCTCCCTGACACTTAGCATGTATTCCTGATTGCACAGAACAAGCACACAGGGACACACATTCTTGCTACAGAGCCACAGAAATGTCAGATCAGCTCATCCAGCAGTGAGCAACTCTGAGGCTCAGAGAGCTCACCCTAGACCTTCCTGAACAGTGCTTCTCCTCCTTACACTGCTCCACACCTCCCTGTCCCTGTGTTTGTCCCTTCTCGCCCAAACAGACTGGAAGCTCCCCGAGACAATCCACAGACTGCAAGAAGATATTTGCAAATCATATATATGAAAAGAGACTTGCACCCAGAATATATGAAGAATTCTTATAACTGGATAATAAAAAGACAAATAACCCACTTAAAAATGTACAAAAGATCTGAAAAGAAATTTCTCCAAAGAAGATTTACAAATGGCCAATAAGCACGTGAAAACATGTTCTACATTATTAGTCATCAGGGGAATGCAAATCAAAACCACAATGTGATACCACTCTATATCTACTAGGATTACCATAATTTAAAAGATAGGTAATAATAAATATTGGCAGGGATGTAGGGAAATCAGAACTTTCATACACTGCTGGTAGTAAGATAGTGCAGCCACTTGGGAAAACAGTTTGGCAGTTCCTAAAAAATTTAAACTTTTTTTTTTTTTGAGACGGAGTCTCGCTCTGTCGCCCAAACTGGAGTGCAGTGTGGCAATCTAGGCTCACTGCAACGTCCGCCTCCCGAGTTCACGCCATTCTCCTGCCTCAGCCTCCAGAGTAGCTGGGACTACAGGCGCCGGCCACCACGCCCAGCTAATTTTTTGTATTTTTCGTAGAGATGGGGTTTCACCGTGTTAGCCAGGATGGTCTCGATCTCCTGACCTCGTGATCCGCCCCCCTCAGCCTCCCAAAGTGCTGGGATTACAGGCATGAGCCACCACGCCCGGCCAAAATT